AGCTCTCCCCATTGAATACAATCTCTCTTCATTCTCAAATCATAACAACAAGATTAATGAAGCCTTGATGGTCCGAATGAAAATGATTAACAATAACACTCGAGCAGATGATGAAGGCATACCTGAGCTTCTAATCCCTAACATTTACAAAGATTCTTCTGCTGCTTTCAACATCTTTATGGTGTTTGATAAATATACATTCAAAGAGGCCCAAGATGAAGGAATTATTACTGAAGAAGAAATTAAAAGAGTAACCGAAAATAATCCAGTTATAATTCATGGTGGGAATGATGGTAAACTAATTTGTTCTGGATCTGCCTTTTTGTTACATCCTTGGTTCAATAGACCTCAAGAATCTCAAACTCTATACTTCGCAACAGCTAGACACAATCTGTGCAAACAGATATTGAACAACTATGTGATTAAATTATCCACAATGTATGTCACTGAGCATGTGCAAACTGATGTGTATCATCAAGACATTGGTTTAAACAATTATGATAAAATTCTTGCCACCCCATTAATTAAGAAGGATGTTGAATCCTTAATGTGTACATCAGATCCAGATATAACTTTTTTCAAAATCCATCTAGATGGTTTTTCCAATCATAGAATGGCATTTGAATTCTTTAGCAAAGCAAGATATTTCATTCCAAAATCTGTAACGCAACTTTCAACAATTAATGATGAAAGCTATAATGTTGGAATAGCTTGTGTATTAGGAAAGTGGAGAGATGTGGATTTTGAAAGGTAAGTATTCAATTATTTAAGTAGTTATATTTTATGACAAGATTGGAAAACACTAGCCCAAGTATTGAGTGGACTGAATCATTAAGGCAATATCTGAACTCAACTAATCGACCTGGAGGTGTGGTTTGGTCATTTGGTCAGTCAAAAGGATTCAAAACTATTGGAAACATTGACTATATTTGTTATAATTGTGCCTCTGCACCTGGATGTAGTGGCGGAGCTTGTATTTTAATGAATCCAATCAGTAATCCTTATCCGTCCAAAGAACAATGTATCTCATTCATTGGTGTTCACAGAGGGTTTAGTCCACAACATGACTGTAACATTGCAACTCCATTCTCCATAGCGAAAGATCAATACAAGACACTCATCTATGCCAATATTAAGAATGATTTGCCAAGAAAGGGAAGAAGACAAATAGAAGAGTTTTTGGGTGAAAAAGGATCTTGTACTGTATTGTAAATAACCAATCTGTCCATATTTTGAGAGCATCCCTAAATTCTCGTCCTGTACAATAATTTCAATTTATTCAAAGTTAGCATTTCCATTAACAAATCCTCTAACATTGAATGTTGTTTTATTTTTCAATTATTATTTAGATCCCAAACTATCAGTTTCAACAAGACAAATTAAAATACACATGATAACAGACGATTTCTTGTTTTGATAGAACTTTTTGGAGTTTTATAATTTTTTAATCTATTTTTTATTATTAAAAATTTAATTTTTGATAAACTGGGTGAAATAATCAAGAAAACTTAGATTTCTTGACAATAATTACCAGGGAAGAGTCCCCTCTTTCCTTGTTTTTCACCTTCCCACCAACCAGATGGATCTTTATCTAACAAGGTAATAATTTCTCCTTCACGAAGAGTCAACTCGTCGTCAGCTGAAGCTTGATAATTGTACAATACCTTAACCTTTGGCTTTTCATCCTTCTTTGGTGGAGGTGGTAACTTCTTCTTATATGCACCACCGCCTTGTTCTTGTTGTTGAGCTAGGTAGGTTGATTCTTGAATTGGTGCAGTTTCCAATAATGACATTCTGTGACCAATTTGTTTTGGTTGATTGTTGGCTTGATAGGCTTGCATCTTAACTTCGACCTTCTTTGGTTGGGAACTTGCTGGTAAACCATCAGCAATACCAATCTTGTAGCCAGAACCAGAACCAGAAACGTTGGCTAACTTGCTCTTTGGATCCAATACAAATTCTGCCTTCTTAACAGTCTTCTTCTTCTTATTCTCAGTGAAGGACAACATATTTTCAAAGGTACGAGGAATATCACGATTCATCTTGGCTCTGTATTGATCGTTCAAAATGGCCAAAAATTCAGTCTTGTTTTCACATTCCAAGAATAAGTCATCAATGTTTGGATCATTGATTTGAATGGCAAGCCAATTGTCAGACAATTGAGACATGGAAACACATTGAATTTGATTCATGGAAATTCTACACAACATGTCCATAATGAATTGCTTCTTGACCTTTTCACGATGGATAAAGTACAAGGCCTCATTGGTCAATAGACCCCAAATCTTGTCGAAAGTGACACCCTTCAAGAGTTTCTTCTTTGGTCTCATGAAAATATCACCAAAGACAACACCACCATCATCTTTACGACCTTGCTTTTTCATCACTTCTTGCAATTGAGCATTATCCATATAATTGGCATGGTCACCCAAAAAGTTTCTATTGAGTGACAATCTACGACGTTGCTTTCTTCCTTCCAACAAGTCAGCACTGGTATTTCTCAACTTGATAAAGTAACGTTTCAACTTGTAGTTACGCCACAATCTTTGCATTTGAGTAGCATTGTCGTGGAATAAACGTTCCTTACTTTCTTCCAAACCAAAGAGAGTATCTGGCTTTCTCAAAAAGATTTTAGTTTTACCCATTTGATATTCACCTTGATCAATGCCCATATCCTTCAAAATGGTTTCACAACCAGTACGTGGATCACCCTTCCATTGTGGCCATGTCTTTTTAGAGAGGACAGAGAAGGAGTTCAAGAACTTTTGGAATGGAGCACGGAATGCAAAACCAGCTCTTCTCACACGAATATTTTCCAACAAACCCAAATATTTGACTTGATGGAGTACACGTTTGGTATCAAAGTCACGAGGTTGCTTGGTTTCGTTTGGTTTAATACAACGAATATAGTGAGGTTCACACTTTTTCAATGTTGCAACCAATTCCACAGCAGAATTCTTAATCTTAAAACCAGCACTTTCAGGTCTCTTCTTATCATTTTCATTGACATTTTCAGGGAAGAACTTTCTAATGAAAGAATTGGTTGTAGATTGCATACATTGAATCAAGGTCTTGTAGAGAACGTCCTTATTCTTATCAGTGAAACCATCAATGTTATAATCGACAGTACCAGCATAGTGCTTAACTGAAAATTCATTGGTACGACCAACAAAGTGAGGATTATTGACAACTTCACGCAAACGTGTCAAGAATTTTTCATCAGCAGCTCTAGCTTCCATAGAGTGAGTAGTGTTACAAGTGTCATCGAGAATGGAAAAGATACCAGGTGGATTCTTTTCTTCAATCAAATCACAGACAATCTTATTGTTAAAGTATTGAATTGGTTCCCATTTGATACCTTCTTGAGTATATTCTTCCTGTTCTGCTTTAAGTGTCAAGTCAATAAAGATTTGTTGCAATTTTTCATTGACATAATTGATACAGAATTGTTCAAAACCATTCTTGTCAAAGATTTCAAAACCATAAATGTCCAAAACAGCTAAAATCAAAGTATTCTTCTTTGTATCCATGGCATCATTGATACGTTTAACCAACCAATCGAACAATCTAGCATATAATACCTTAGCCAAGGCATCACGAATGTTGGCAGCTTGAGCAGGTGATTGAGAAACTGTAATTTCTTCATTACCTGATTTGATAATTCTATTCAACAAGGCAAATTGCAACTTATCAGAAGCAACATTGAGTAAATAGGCAGCATAATCCAAAGTACCTGAATCTTCAACAACAGATCCTTTACCAGCTTCTCTAAATGTAATGTTACCAAGCCACAAGATACCTGCAACCATTCTCATGATATTTGATTGTTCTTCCTTTGTAATACCAATAACGTCCATGGCCTTTCTAGTCAATTGATATTCTTCAGCATCATCAATACCATCAACATTGTAACAACCAGATTGTGATAAGTAGTAGAAATCGTGAGCATTGGTTGTGGCAAATTCTTCCTTTTCTTCCTTAGAAGCACCTGCACACAATTGATAGAAAATGTGGAAGTTACGTTCACCAGCTTGTTGATAGACAACTCTGGATTTTTCCAAGAGATAGTTGGTAATTTTACCACCTATTGGATCACCTCTATCATCAAACTGTTTAATAGTTGAGTAGTAGTAGTAGTTGTGGTAGTAGTAGTTACAGTTTACAATGAAATTTTTGTAACAAGTACATATTGAAATAAATTACAAAAAAATGTTAAACATTATATTAACAAATCAGCAAGTAGTACAACATACCTGAATTTCAAAGAATTTACCGAAACGAGATGAATTGTTGTTACGAACAGTTTTGGCATTACCAAAAGCTTCTAACAATGGATTGGACTCGAGGATAATTCTCTTCACACGATCAACACCAACACCATCACCAGAAACAGCAGCAATATATTGCATAATTAACTTGGAAGCTTCAGTCTATTATAACAATTTATCACATAATAAAAAGTATTAGTATTGGTAGTATTAGTAGTGGTATTAGAAAAGGAAAATGGCAAATATATAGAGTGTCATGAAAAAAACAATGTAGAATGCAACAACAACAATAATAAAACATTTCAAGTAACATAAGATAAGCATAAACATAAAAATAACTCATAACATACCTTACCAGCACCAGATTCACCTGAAATGATAACACACTGTGAATCACCATTATTCTTCATGTTTTTGTAAGCAGTTTCAGCAAGAGCATAAACGTGTGGAGGTTCTTCATATGGATACTTTCCATTGTATTGATCAATGAAATTTTGATCAAAAATAGGAATTTGTTTGAAAGGATTGACAGAAATCAAGACATTTCCAATGTAGGTATAAATCACATCCGAACCATGTCTCTTTTTAAGATTTTCCATAACTTCATTCTCTGATAATTTTGGTAAGAGGACCATGTCATCAATACCAGCTTGTTTTTGTTTGGCTTTCTTTGCGTTAAATGCCATTTTTTACAATTTAAATATTTAATATAATATAATAGTGGAGAGGAAAGTAGAGTGATGATTGTTTTTTCACAAAAATCGGCTAGGGTTTGTTTAACTCGCTCTGCTGTATTCAACTCTCTCGAGAATTTTTTTTTTGATGGGTTTAACAATTTGACGTTCTCACTTTGAAAGTTGACGTGATTCTCGTACAGTTTGAATCGCAGTGATGATCTATCACTCGTTTGTGGTAAGACAATTTGCAAACATTTGAAAAAATAGACATTTTATTGATAATTTCTAAAGTTGTTAATATAGATTACAATACATGTTAAATATTTTCAATATCTGGTTTTTGTTTAATTGAGAAAACTTGTTAGATTTAATGTTTTTAATAACAATTTCAATTAAAAACGGCATTATAATAATGAAAAGTGAGATTCAAGTAAAAAATATTGATTTGTGATTGGTGTGACAGGTTTGACGATCTTGCTCTTTCCTTTTGCAATGAAAAATTGCTCTTGATTACAATATTACATTCAGTGTTATTATTCATCATATTAAGAGTATCTCTATTTTAACAAGAATCAGTTAATGATTTTCCTTAATTTCTTTGTTGTTAACCATCTCATTTGATAAGTTGAGGGAATGTACTCATTGCATAAGTAAAATGAAAGAATTGAGATCCAATGTATGCATCAATCATGATGGATGAGGGATCAATACTATTGAAAGCACATCCTATTGAAAAATAATACTTTCAGAAAGGAAGGGCATTTCTTCAACACTCTTCTTCAGTGAAAACTCTTCATCCTTTCCTCCATATGTGAATACTCCAATAAAATTATTGTTATAACCAATCACTCGAATTGTTTCCCACATTTTAACAAGTTGATGTTCAATAAAAAGGTCAAATTCAAACATTTGTTCAATTTGCTTATTTCTGCAATGAGGAGATGGAAGGATATTTTCTCTAATTGCCATCAATTCAACATTTGTATATTTCTTCTTTAGAGATGTAATAGTTTCACCTTTAATCTTCTTTGACAATAATCCAAAATCAATTTTTTCTTTAAATTCTTTCAAAACAGTTTCAAAAGACACCCCATTCGATGAATTGACGAATGAGGCCATATAACTATGCGATGAATCATTTGAACTTGTCATTGAAAATTCCTTAGGAAGACAATATTCACACTTTTTAAAAGGTTTAAAGATTTTAAAGTCTTCCTCATGAATTCCTTGAGTTTCATCTTTACCAATAATGATTTTTACAAACAAGATACCAGCAGCCTTTTTTCCATCTCTTAGAGGTAACATTTCTTCGTATTCCTTACCATACTCCAATTCTTCCGATTTAAGAGTCCAAGATGTACTTCCCAGAAAATCCTTAATACAACAATTGATATAGTAAATAAGTAATAATAATAATATTATTAAATTTGATTCAATTAATACAAACAAATTATGAACTTACATCTTTTGAGAATCGATCGTAATCATAAACTTCAAAAATCACTTCAATTCCCTTGTGCTGCCTATCTAAACAATCAAGGGAATGGAACGTCTTACTTTCATTCCATGAGGGATTTAGATTTTCCATCACTACGGAAGTTCTTTGCTCCCAAACCTTGTCTGAATTATTTGGAGGCAATCTTTCCTCTCCGACTGATCGTAATTTAATCACCACATACTATTTTAAATCAATTCATGTATTAATTATTAATTGAAAATTAAAAGCAATAATACATTACAGGGTCCGAAAGATTATTCAGATCTGATGCTTTGAGTCCAGTGGCTTTATATGGAGAAATGATGAGAGTATCAATTGATGAGAAGGGCATGATTGTTCTATTTTTTATAATGTTTGTATCAATTAGCGCCAATAAGTTAGAATTCTATTAAAGGAAAAACAAACAATACAAAAAGAAATCATGATGATTTCGATTGATTTTATTGTTATAGTGTGTAAATCTAGAGAAAGAGGGTATTTTCTGAAACTCTGGCAACTTCAGCTTCACCCATTCTCAAAATACTATGAAGTGCATCTTGTGGTTCAATATAAATGTATAGTCCTAGTTTTCCATTTGAATGAGAAACAATACGGAAAGTTCCCCACATCCTTATTCCTCCCTTCTTTTCAAGTAAGAGAATGTACTCCATAATATTGGTAATTAATTTGTTTCTACAATGAGGATCTGGGTTAACATGTTCATTCTTACTCTTAACTTCCACCTTGGAGTATTCCTTTTTCATGTCACTAATCTTTTGGTCACTCACTTGCTTGGCAATATCTGCAAACTTGGCATTGCTATCGAATGGAATAAACTTGGTCAATAATACTTCAGCTCTCTTCATATCTGCAAAAACTGCATTATGCGCATCGGTTTCTTCACTTGAAGAGATGAGAGAAAATTGTCTTGGGGTACAAATTTCAGCAAAACCAGATTGGAATGGGGAAATAAAGTTAAATTCCTTATCAACTCTATCTTGTTCATAACTCCAAATCTTGTAACTGATATACAGTGTTCCCGATTTACAATCAGTTAATTCAAGGACCTCTGAATATTCCCTATCATGCTCAAGTTTATCACCATCAAGTAGAATTTCAGCTTGTCCAATAGGATCCTTTCAAAATGATGGATTGATGAATACATTTGAATTTAACACTTACATCCTTAGACAATAAATCCCAATCATAAACTTCAAACTTTAACTTGATTCCCAAGCCAGTGTCAAGATACAATAAACTGTGGAATGTTTTATCCTCATTCCATTCGGGATTTAAGGTCTTTTTTTTGACGCTTGTTTTTTGTCTCCATTCCTTAGCTGTTTCCTTCATTATATCGTCAAATCTTTCATCATCAATGGCTGATTTTGCTTGTACAATCACATACTATTACAAGTCAATAAACCAATACTAATTAACAATCACTTACAGGATCCTTTGGAAAGAGTCAATACATCAATCGAATAATAAATTCACTTACAGAAAATCCATTAAGATCAGCCTATTACGATAATTAAGATGAATTGATAGCACCAATAAGAGTCAACCTACAGCCTCAAGATTTTTTGCGTGCTTGATTGTCACGGTTAATGTATCCATAGCTCTGAAAGGCATCTTTAAATTATGTTTGATAAAAATCTAGTAGCAATTGTTGAATCAGTGAAAATGAACACTTGATTGTTTGTTATTTTTTCTGTATTGCTTTTTGCTTGCTTAATATTGTTATTTACTTTTCAAATCCCATAGTACCTTATTAAAAGTTGTTAGGGACATGAAATTACCATTTCGGGAACGGTTTTTATATAATGCCGAAAACCTAAACACCTTAATAGAGTATAACAATAATTTAAAGGTGGGTACTAGCAAAATATCAACAGATTTTTAATCAAGAGTGACTTCACTAGTTTATTACAACAAATGTTCAATTTAAGCTGTAGTAGTGGTGTTTGAAGCAACTACTGGAGTAACAACAGTTTCAGTCTTCTTGGCCTTCTTAGATCCCTTCTTGACCTTCTTAACCTTCTTAGCACCCTTCTTAGCAGTCTTTTTTACCTTCTTAGCACCCTTCTTTGTACCCTTCTTGACCTTCTTGGCACCTTTCTTAGTGGACTTCTTAACCTTCTTAGCCTTCTTAGATCCCTTCTTGGCACCCTTCTTGACCTTCTTAACCTTCTTAGCAGTCTTCTTTGCCTTCTTAGTACCCTTCTTGGCAGATCTAACAGTCTTCTTTGCCTTCTTAGCACCCTTCTTGGTGGACTTCTTTGGTGTTTTCTTGACAGATCTTACAGTAGTCTTGGTGGACTTCTTGGCAACCTTCTTAACACCAGTTTTCTTTGGAGTCTTCTTTACAGATCTAACAGCAGTCTTCTTTGGGGAAGCCTTCTTGGTTGCCCTCTTTGTTGTTCTCTTGACAGATCTAACGGCCTTTGGCTTCTTTGGAGCAGCAACTCTAGTGGAGTTTCTTTGACTAAGAGTCTTGATAACGGTAGGTGGCTTCTTAGCTCTTGTGGTTTTAGTGGCTCTAACACCTCTAATTTTAGCCTTAGCCTCAGTCTTCCAATTGATAAGAATAAAAGCAACAATTAAAATTAGTACGTACAGCCATAGTCATGCCGGCAACACAGGCCAACAAGGCAATCAAACACAATGTAAGGAAAAGCTTAGCACTCATGATTAATGTTGTTCGGTAATTTTTTTTGATGATGAAAACATACCTCAATCAAAACCGCTTTTTAAAAACTGAGGGACTGTAATCACATTACAGATGAAGTATGCACAACACACTAATACTGATACTCGCCTAAGGTTAGTGGATAACAATGGGTGGAAAAACAGGATCAGTGTTTGGTAGGTGAATGAAGTAACTTGAGTTTTGTTTTAACTTACGTTGTAATCTATGGAGAGACTGTATGTGTAGAAACAGTTAGTAGTAAAATTGAGCAAATTGGGTAATGGAATGTTGTATCGGCGACAATGTGTTTAATTTTATTGAAATAATTGTGGAATGTGGATTGTACATCAAAGAGAAAAGTCTTTGAAAATCATTACTGAACTTTGATAGATTCTTATATTCATAATTTTTTAATATTGACATTCACAAAAGAGAGATAAACAAAATAAAGATGAAATTCATATCTTTATTTGAAATGTTACTAAATAGTTAGTAGAGAGGTTATTAAACAAGCTTTATCTGTCAGTTTTCCTCCCAATTAATAGTTGTTTAGAGATATGAACAATTTCTCTCTTGTTAATCGAGGAAAATAAGTTTGCCCATAAAGAGCGGTGAGTTGAGCTTTGTTTATTTTCAAAAAGAAAAAAAAACATGTTCAAGATCTCATTCGTCGAGTTTTCAACACCTCAAACAATTAAATCAGCCTTATCTTGTGAGGTCAAGAATAAGAACAACAATTCTCCAAAGAAACGAGGACGACCACCAAAGAAGAAACAACAGGAAAGAGATTCAAAAGTTGTCACATCCTCAGAATCAATGAAAGATGCTCAAAAGAATGATGTAAATCATCCTGCTGTGATCTTGACCGAATGTAAGAAGAGGAAATTGGAGAATGTTTGTGAGCAATACAGAACTCCTCCATTGGTGGTTTCTCCTCCTTCACTGCATGTTGAGGAGGATTCTAATACTCAAGCAACAACAACAACATTAGCAAGGAATAGAAAAATTATAAGAACCTCAATATCGCTTAAAGAAATATTGAATTATAATGGACAACAA